CGCTAGCCTTGTTGCTGAGTCTGAGTCTGAGTCTGTCTGTCCTCCGTCCGTCGGGGGTGAGTGTGCTCTTGGCACGGACGTCCTTGAGGACAAGCAGGAGGAGTTCCAGTGTCTTGCTGCTGCTTTGCCCCGTCTCGTGTCCTTGCTAGTTGCCCCTGAGGGAGACCCGGATGCACCAGACATCCCGACCCCGCGCACTTACGCTGAGGCGATGGCGGGTCCCTACTCCTCTCAGTGGCAGACAGCCATGGATGCCGAGATGGCTTCCTGGAAGTCCACACGCACCTACGTCGACGAGGTTCCCCCTCCTGGGGCAAACATCGTCAGTGGCATGTGGATTTTCAGGGTGAAGCGGCCGCCGGGTTCTCCGCCTGTCTTCAAGGCGCGTTACGTGGCTCGAGGCTTCAGTCAGCGAGAGGGAGTTGACTTCTTCCAGACCTTCTCCCCCACCCCGAAGATGACTACTCTTCGGGTGCTGCTGCACATAGCCGCTCAGCGCGACTACGAGCTTCACTCACTTGACTTCAGCACTGCTTTCTTGCAGGGCAGCCTGCACGAGGAGATCTGGCTGCGCCGCCCACCTGGCTTCACTGGGTCGTTTCCTCCTGGTACCCAGTGGAGGCTTCAGCGGCCGGTCTACGGTCTCCGCCAGGCTCCGCGTGAGTGGCACGACACACTGAGGACTACACTTGCGGCTCTTGGGTTCGCGCCTTCTACAGCTGATCCGTCGCTGTTCCTGCGCACCGACACTTCGCTGCCGCCGTTCTACATCCTCGTGTACGTCGACGACTTGGTCTTTGCCACTGCTGACACTGCAGGACTCGCCCACGTGAAGTCGGAGCTGCAGAGGAGACACACGTGCACAGACCTGGGTGAGCTGACAAGCTATCTTGGCTTGCGGATCACCCGGGACAGAGCACGGCGCACCATCACCCTGACTCAGTCACACATGGTGCAGCAGGTTCTCCAGCGCTTCCGCTTCACGTACTCCTCGCCCCAGTCCACTCCTCTGCCTACCGGTCACTCGCTCTCAGCTCTGCCTTCGGATGAGTCCGTAGAGCCGAGTGGCCCGTATCCAGAGCTTGTGGGCTGCCTCATGTACCTGATGACCTGCACTCGACCTGACCTTGCATACCCTCTTAGCATCCTTGCACGCTATGTCGCTCCTGGCCGTCACAGGAAGGAGCACATGGATGCCGCTAAGAGGGTGTTGCGCTACTTGTGCAGTACGTCGGGCATGGGGCTTGTGCTTGGAGGGCGAGACCGAGTTGTTCTCACAGGGCACTCAGACGCTTCTTGGGCAGACGACCAGGCCACTCAGCGGTCGTCTCAGGGTTACACCTTCAGCCTTGGCTCTGGCTCAGTTTCTTGGCGCTCTACACGCTCGTCTTCTGTTCTCGGCTCCAGTTGCGAGGCTGAGATCTACGCTACAGCCATGGCTGCTCAGGAGCTACGCTGGCTGACCTACCTGCTGACCGACCTCGGAGAGCGGCCTCGTTCTCCTCCAATTCTGTACGTCGACAACAAGGCTGCCATTGCCTTGTGTGAGGAGCACAGACTGGAGCACAGAACGAAGCACATCGCCCTGCGGTACTTCCTTGCTCGTGAGCTGCAGCAGCGCGGTCAGCTTTGTATTCGCTACGTGGCCACTGAGGCCAACACTGCTGATGTGTTCACCAAGGCGCTTCAGCCTCGTGACCATCAGCGCTTCTGCACTCTACTAGGCCTTGTGCCTACTGGACCTCACTTGCTTACCTCTTGACTTTGCTTGTACTGTGATCACTATATATATCTATACCTGCATGTTTACTCTTGCTAGGTTGTGATCACTGTATCTCTTGCTCTGTTATAAACTTGCATGTGAACTGGTCTTGTGACCACTAGCTTGTGCTCGGAATTTGTGTGGAATCCTTGAGATCCACCCTGAGCTTGTTGTTGCCTTGCTTTGCCTTGACTGGTCTTGTGACCCCTAGGTCTCCCCCACTTTGCCTATGGGGGTGTGTCAAACATTATACATGTTGTATTTGTGTAGGCTGTAGTGGGTTAGCCTATAGGGGGGTCACAATATTAGGGTTTCATATTTGTACTCACAATCCTTGCTAGTCCATCATTCCAGTCCGTTATTTCTGACACAACGCTGCCTTGCCGATGTAAAGTCCTCCTCTCCCGTGATACAGCTTGAACTCCTGAGTGGTGCTGTCTGCTTCGAGGTGAATTCCCTTCGCCATCAATTGACTGACGCTGAGTAAGTTGTAGCCGAGTCCCTCCGCGATTAAGACCTTTGACATTTGTAGAATGACTTTTGTTTCTCTTGACTGAAGTTGAACTATGCCTTGTCGTCGTGTGCGTAGGTTCTGGTTGTTGGCGACGGAGATGACGACTTCTCGCTGAAGTTTGTGTTCCCGTTGGACGAAGCGACCCGAGGAGCACATATGCTGTCCGCATCAACGATCCAAGAACCAGGTGTCTTATACCGGACGGCTCGCTTTGGGCGATGGCTGCGTATGTCGGGTTGGGCTCCAGTGATTCGCGGCGAGGAGTGCTTTCGTCGAGTTGTTCTTCCGGTGAGTAGTGCGGTGGTGACTCGGTGATGCAGGAGTCGGTCAATCTTGCCATGCAGCTGACGATGTTTCTTGTTCCTTGTGCAGATTGCGTTGTCGGTGTTGTTGAAGACTGTGTTTGACCGGTGGGGTGTGCTTGTGTGGAGGCCACTTGACTACTTGAAGGCCGAAGCTGACGTTGCGGCGGCATTGACTGCTGCTGATTTGGGCAGTGTGTGCGAGGATGCCCTGATGTCTTGCAGAGGTGGCAGAATGGATGTACGAGTCGTTGTGCTTGATGCTTGTTCTGTCGGTTGTTGCTGTTGTTGTGATGTCGTTGAGTGTGGAATGCAAATTCGGATACTGACGTTCTTCTCTTGTGCTGCTCCTCGTGCAGGTCCATGTCTTGCTGTTCAGCGTGAATTTCGGCGCAGAGTGCTGCTTCGGAGATCTTCCCGTGGGCTCGGAGGAGAGCTTGGGTGGAGCGCCAATGAGGACCAAGTCCAGCGATGATGACATTGACGAAGGCTTCTTCTGATATCGCTCCTCCGCATCGAAGGAGTCTGTCGCGCAGTCCGCGACAACGACTAATATACGCCATTCCCTTTTCGCCGGGTTTCATTTCCACTGTTGTCAGTTGTGCCATTAACCGACTCTGATTGACGCTGTCTGTTGCTTGATACGGGTTCTTCAGGAGGCTATACGCGAGCTCGGCGGAGTTGCCTTATCCTTGATAAGACCGGACGTTCTGCTGCTTGTTCGGCGTTATGTTTCGTAGCAGGATCGTGTACGCCATCATCGACTGATATGTATACTGCTGCTTGTCGTATTGTGTTCCGTGCGTTGGGTATGGCAGGGAACCATAAATAAATCCAAGAATCTGCGCTCCTTCCATCATCAGCTCGAAATTGAATGACCTGGTATAAAAGTCCTTTCCGTCGAAGGGTGTCGATGTCTGCAGTTTCAGGACGTGTGCGAACTGCGACTGGACCTGAAGAGCGTCCAGTGTCTTCTCTTGTCCAGGTGAAGGTTGCTGGTGTGGCATGAAGCTGATGGAGCCACGTTGAGGCTCGTACGAAGCAAAGGTGGGTTACTGCTGGTTTCCGCGCGCGTAGGATGAGCCGTCGAGACATCGTTGTTGTTGTTGCTGTTGTTTGACTATGCAGTTGCTGCTTGCTGGTGTTGCTCGTAGAAGGACATGAAGGAGAAGAATTTCTCCATCATGCTTGGACCGAAGCCTGTAGCTTGGTTCGCGGGAGTCTCAGTAGACTCAGCAGCTGGTTTTGTCGCTGTGCCTTTCTCTGTCTGTAGGCCAGAGGCTGGAGGTGGAGTAGGAGTAGTGCCGGGAGAGCCGTTAGAGGAGCTTCTCTCCTTCTGTGTTGCCATGTCTTGTGATGTTGTAGGAGTTTGAACGATGTGGAGTTTTGCCTTGCTCGCTCTGATACCATGTTGGGCTGAGAAAAGCCCTTAGGATCTTTTCAAGGCTAACCTCTAGGTAGAAAATGTTGTAATTGCGGTAGTGTTTTATGATAGGTGTTGAACCACCTTGCGCTGGTATGTGAGGGCAAGATTGATTGATTATAGAAAAGTAATACAAGCTCTTATAAGATTACAAGGTAAATGAAAGGATGTAATAACCGTTCTACTTTTGCTGTTGCGGTTCGATACAGTGACGACTCGGGCAACTGCTCAATAGCGAGTCAGTTGTTTGTCCTCACTGTCGCGCTGTATTTGTCGAGTCAAAGGTCGCTGACCTTTGACCTTCGCGTAACCTCCAGTAGTTTTGTCAACCTCCTTGGTTCGTTGTTGTTTGCTTCCTTTACGGTTCAGTGTTCCGGCACATCAGAAGCGTTAAGTTACTTGTTTCCAACGCTATGTACGGGAGATTACGGTAGGGGTAACTCGGTTTTCTCTCGTGAACCCTGATGCTTCAACACTCAACAATCACAGTAATATTTTGCTGGAAAATGTGCAATACCATGCAATTATAGATGTTACCACATTATGCGTGTTGGAAACAATCGATTTAAGCGCCTCTGTTGTGTCAAAACACTAAGTCGTAAACAAAGCAAAACACGACGGAGCATCAGCGAGTCAACCCTCGGAGGTTGAGAAGAAAAGCAACCGCTGGAGGTTACGCAAAAGTCAAAGGTCAGCGACCTTTGACCTGACAAGTACAGCGCGACAGCAAGGACAAACAACTGACTCGTTATTGAGCAGTTGCCCGAGTCGTCACTGTATCGAACCGCAACAACAACAGTAAAGCAGTTATTAGTTGTATCTTTTCATATTCCTTGTACTCTTATAAAACCTTGTATCTCCTTGCTTTAATCAATCTACTTTGCCCTCACATACTAGCGCAAGGTGGTTCAATATCCTCATTAAACGCTTCCGCAATTACAACAAGTCCTACCCAGAGTTTAGTCCTGCAAAGATCCTAAGGGCTTTTCTCAGCCCAACATGGTATGAGAGCTGTCAGGACAAACTCAACTATTTCAAGGACGCCTACAACATCAGAAGACATGGCTACTTAGAAGGAGAGAAGCTCCTCTAATGGCTCTCCCGGCACCACTCCTACTCTACCGCCTGTCTCTGGCCTACAGACAGAGGAGGGTACGGCAACAAGACCAGCAGCGGGGTCTACCGAAACTCCTGCGAATCAACCTGCAGGCTTCGACCCAAGCATGATGGAGAAATTTTTCTCCTTCATGTCCTTCTACGAGCAACACCAGCAATCGGCACCTGCGCAGTCACACAACAACAACAACAACAACAACAACAACAACAACAACAACAACAACAACAACAACAACAACAACAACAACAACAACAACAACAACAACAACAACAACAACAACAACAACAACAACAACAACAACAACAACAACAACAACAACAACAACAACAACAACAACAACAACAACAACAACAACAACAACAACAACAACAACAATGACGTGACGCCCATGAGTCTCGATGGCTCATCCTACGCACGCGGAAACCAGCAGCAGCAGCCTACCTTTGCTCCGTACGAGCCCCAGCGCGGTTCCATCAGCTTCATGCCGCACCAGCAGCCTTCACCTGGGCAAGAGAAAACACTGGATGCACTTTAAGTTCAGTCGCAGTTCGCGCACGTCCAAAAACTGCAAACGTCAAGGCCGTTTGGGTAAAGACTTCTTTACCTGGTCGTTCGAATTTGAGCTGATGATGGAAGGCGCGCAGATTTTCGGATTCTTCGACGGATCCCTGCCATACCCTACACACGGGACGCAAAACGACAAGCAGCAGTACACATATCAGTCGATGATGGCATACGCGATTCTGCTGAGGAACCTGACTCCAAACCAGCAGCAGAACATTCGGTCTTACCGGGGATACGGCAACTCTGCCGAGCTCGCGTACAACCACTTGAAGAACCTGTATCAAGCAACAGACAGCGTCAACCAGAGTCGATTAATGACACAGCTGACAACAGTGGAAATGAAACCAGGCGAAAAGGGAATGGCGTATATCAGCCGTTGTCGCGAATTGCGCGACAAACTTCTTCGATGCGGAGGCACAATATCTGAAGACGCCTTCGTGACACTCATTATTGGCGGCCTCGGTCCTCAATGGCGCTCCACCCGAGCCATTATCCGAGCCCAGGGGAAAATATCTGAAGGGGCACTCTGCGCCTCGGCGAGACAGACAACAATCTCGATTCACGCTGAGCAGCAAGACATAGACCTGCAAGAGGAGCGGCACAAGAAGAAAACGTTAGTACCCGAAATAGCATTCCACACCCAACGGCGCTACAACAACACCCGGCATCAACCAAAACCCGTACCTCCGTTCTGTCACATCTGCAAGATATCAGGACATCCTCGCACACACTGCCCGAATCGACAACAGTTAACACCAGCACAACGCCAACTCCGTCCTTCAAGGAGTCAAGTCGCCTCGACGCAAGTGCACCTCACCACTCAAGTTCAAACCCCAACGACATCGTCGGCACAACCTGCACAAGGATCAAGAAACATTGTCAGCTGCATGGCCAAGTTGACTGATTCCTGCATCACCGAATCACCACTGCATTACTCACCGGAAGAGCAACTCGACAACAGTACCCCTCGCCGCGAAACCCTGGAGCCGAACCCGACATACGCAGCTATCGCCTAAAGCGAGCCATCCGGAAAAGACACGTGGTTCTTGGACAGTTGCTGCGGACAACACATGTGCTCTTCGGGTCGCTTCGTTCAACGGGAATACCAACTTCAACGCGAAGTCGTCATCACCGTCGCCAACAACCAGAACCTGCGCACACGACGACAAGGCGTGGTTCAACTTCAGTCACGGGAGACGAACGTTATACTACAGATGTCAAAGGTTTTAATAACATATGGACTCAGCTACAACTTACTGAGCGTCAGTCAGCTGATGGCGAAAGGCATCCACCTTGAAGCAGACAGCACAACTCAAGAGTTCAAGCTGTACCACGGGAAGGGCGGACTTTACATCGGGAAGGCAGTGCTGAAGAATAACGTCTTCGTCCTCGACTTCGTTCCAGATCTCGGCACCGCCGACAGCGACGAAATTGTTACGTTCACCCCCTGGACACATCCACCGGATCTCGACCCCGACTTCAGTCCCGAAGGCTTCTGGTATTCACACACTATTCCTGAAGCAGAACGAACAAGAGCATTAGCGATGATTCAACATTCGGCAGCAGCAAAGACAACATCGGCAGCAGCAGAGACAATATCGGCAGCAGCAGAGACAACAACGGCAGCAGCAGAAACCACAACGGCAGCAGCAGCGACAACAGTAGCAGCAGCGGCAACATCAACACCAACCGGTGGCCCTTCAACGATACCGGTCCTCGTCAATGACACACCACCGACACCTGCGCAGCAGCTAAATCCGACTCCACGAGAAGTCCACCGAAGCGCCAACTTCACCGCCAGCTTCTACTCCAACTCCGACTTGTACAGAAGCTCACCCGGACATCGCGCCACTGAAGGAACCTGGCACGCAAGAATGGGACATCCAAGCAACACGACGTTAAATAACACGATAAGAGCAGGCGTGCTCGGAAAGAATTCACTGCTTCTAACTGACGTCAGAGAACTCCAGAGAGTCCGTGGAACCTGCTTCACCTGTCCTGAAGCCGACTTACCGCATCAGCCATTCGTCTCTCACCACAACCCGAGCGCACCAGCGTACGCACCACTGGAGAAAGTGTACAGCGACATCCTGTACAACCGCGAACCTGGACAAGGAGCGTACAACTACGTCATCACATTAATTGATGCCGCCACACGATACGTTTGGCGCCTCAATCTTCCGAGCCGCGACATGGCCTTCGAAGCCTTCGTCGCCGGACTTCAAGTAGCAGAACGAGAATCAGGAGTGAAGCTGAAAAGCTTCCAGTCAGACGGAGGAGGAGAATATGCGTCACAGAGGTTCAAGGAGTACCTGGCAGAGAGGGGAATCAAGCGGCTCATCTCCCTTCCCTACGCCCATCAACAGCAGGGTGTAGCAGAAAGAATGAACAGGACCCTCCAGAACACCATGCGCAAGCTGCTACGTGGCATGCACCTACCCAACCACCAGTGGCCCGAGGCAATGGACCACGCCGTGATGCTGCACAACTTGCTCTCGTCATCATCGCTCCCGAACAACGCATCACCGCATCTGCTGTGGACAGGAAAATTGGGCAGCACAAAAATGTTACGAGTCTTCGGCTGCATGGTACAGTACCGACCCCCATCTGCACGAGCCGGCCGATTCTCCCAACGCGCACAGTGGGGACTACACCTGGGCATCGAAAAACATTACAATGTATGGAAGATTTTCGACATCAACACAAAAGAAACAGTAGCAGCACGTGATGTCATCTTCTACGAGAACCTCACCCTCCGGACATACCTTGCCAACGTGGAAGAAAGAAACCCAGACATCTCGGGTGGGTTCCTTGGCACCCGAGCCTTTGCTTTGGCAGAAGACGAAGCTGACTGGGACGAGCAAAACGTGGAAGGAGCCTCGGAGGAAGCCGGACCTCTTCCCTACTGTTCAGTCGACGTTCCGATGGACGACGAAAATCCTCGCGAAAGCATCAACGCCGAAGCCTACTACCACTTCGCCGACAACGGTTACGTTACACCTGCACAAGTCAACACCAACGAAGCAGAACGCGTAGGACCCAATTTCATACCTGATCCAGAAGCGGGAGACGAAGCAGTCTATCCCGAGGATACAACACTTTCCCGCTACACACAGAGTGGACTCTAGATACTCGTCTTCGTCACCGCGGTTCACGGCACGGCGATTCCTAAGGAGCCTGCCACAGTTCAGCAGGCTCTGGGCAGGGAGCACAGGGAAAAATGGCGCGAAGCCATGGACAGGGAACTTAAAGCGCTGGAAGAACGGAATACCTGGAAAATCGTTCCTATCGGCGTGGCACGCAACAAAATGGTACTCGCCGGAAAATGGGTCTTCCGTGTGAAAACTAAGGCAGACGGCACCATCGACAAGTTTAAGGCGCGCTGGGTCGTACGCGGTTTCGACCAAGAGCACGGACGCGACTTCACCGAGACGTTCGCATTGGTCAGCCGACACGTTTCACTGCGAATTCTCCTCGCGATCGCCGCCATGAAGAAGAAGAAACTGCGCCAAATCGACGTCGCAAATGCTTTTCTCTACGCACCTGTTGACGCCGAAAACTTCGTCGAGCTACCACACGGCTCCAACAGAAATCCTAACCAAGTCTGCCAACTACTGAAGTCCCTATACGGCATCAAGCAGGCTCCGAGACTGTGGCAGCAGTATCTACACGCTCGACTCATCCGCATCGGATTCCGCCAGCTACCGCACGACCAGGGCATGTACCGACTCACGAGAGGCAACGACTACATTCTACTCATCGTCTACGTGGACGATCTGCTCTACATCGGCTCGACCGACGGCGTCACTACCTGGTTCGAAGGGGAGCTGCAGCAGGATCTCACCCTCACGGTGTCATCGACCGCCACACAATACCTCGACCTCAACATTCAGGAAGAAGAAAGCGCAATCTACCTCAGCGCCGCAAAATACGCCGACACCATCGCCAAACGCTTCGGACTCACTCAGACCACCATCTCCACGCCATACCGCTACACCACTGGAAATTACAAGGAAGGCTCCGCTCCGCTCAAACCCGCCGGCATACGCGATTACCAGAGAAAGCTGGGATGACTCCTCTTTGCGGCCGTCACCTGCCGTCCGGATCTATCGTACTCAGCGAGTCAACTCGCCACCTACCTCAAGAAGCCTGAAGCAGAACACATGGCGGAGCTCGACCGCGCTCTTCACTACTTCATCAGCACCCCGACGATCGGCCTAACCTACCACAAGAACGGAACTACAACACCTAATTTAATCGGCTACGTCGACGCCGACCACGCCGAAGACTCCGACAACAGGCGCTCGCGCACCGGCTACATCTACCGACTCGAGCCTATCGGACCTATTTCGTGGAAGTCAAGCAAGCAAGAGCTAATCGCTCTCTCCTCGGCTGAGGCAGAATATATCGCACTCTGCTCAGCCACCAAGGAAGGACTTTACCTTCGCGAACTGCTGGAAGAAGCGAAGTTGGCTCAGTTACCCAACTTCTCCCTGTTCTGCGACAACCAGTCAGCAATTCGGATTGCCAACAAGAACGGATTCGCGAAGAGGACGAAATACATCGCGTTGCGATACTTCTTCGTAAAGGACGAGATCGAGAAGGGGAGACTCGAGCTGTCATACTGCCCCACGTCCGAGATGGCAGCTGACTACTTGACCAAGAAACTCGGAAAGCAGAAGTTCGAGTACTGCATGCTGCTGACTGGACAAAGCCACGTCACCAACAGCGACACTCCAGAAGCGAAGGGGAGTGTTGGAAACAAGTGATTTAAGCGCCTCTGTTGTGTCGAAACACTAAGTAAAACACAACGGAGCATCAGCGAGTCAACCCTCGGAGGTTGAGAAGAAAAGCAACCGCTGGAGGTTACGCGGAAGTCAAAGGTCGTCGACCTTTGACCTGACAAGTACAGCGCGACAGCAAGGACAAACAACTGACTCGTTATTGAGCAGTTGCCCGAGTCGTCACTGTATCGAACCGCAACAGCAACAGTAAAACAGTTATTAGTTGTATCTTTTCATATTCCTTGTACTCTTATAAAACCTTGTATCTCCTTGCTTTAATCAATCTACTTTGCCCTCACATACTAGCGCAAGGTGGTTCAATATCCTCAGCAAACGCTTTCGCAATTACAACAAGTCATACCCAGAGTTTAGTCCTGCAAAGATCCTAAGGGCTTTTCTCAGCCCAACAATGCGCACCCCTTTCACCCCCTTACCCCCCCTTCCCCCCCCCCCTCCCCCCCCTCCCCCCCCCCTCCCCTCCCCCTCCCCCCCCTTCACCCTCCCCCTCCCCTCCCTCTCACCCCCCTACCCTGCGCTTAACGTGGTATATCTGGGGTATGACGGTACCTCTTCTATCCGAGCAATGACGGTGTCACGTCAAGTGTGTAGTAGGCCCAACGTAGCACCCACTGCATGCAACGACCCTGTCACGCACAACACCACTCTCTCCCTCGTCCGTCTACCCACAGAAAGCTTTCCTTTTTGCCCACTAACACCCCAAGCCTCGTATGTGTTGCGTTCTCGATCTCGTTCCCTCCCGGGCGAGCTGCCGTGGCGGGGAAGCTGCCGTGGCGTGGTGGAACAGGCAAGGGCGGCTGCGAGTGCAGAGCGCAGGTCAGGCAGCGCAGCAAGGCGTGGCAGTGCAGGGTCCCCAGGAAGAAGGGGCGCGGATGGCAGGTGGGACTGTGCAATGGAGCGCAGTGCGGCGGGGGCCATGGCCCGCTGCGATGCCGCCGCGATGGGCACTGCCGTGCACAGCACTGCTGCTGGCGGGATGGCTGCCACGGGGGACGCACAAGGGAGAGGGGGGGGGGGGAGGTGGCGCGAGGGATGAATTGGGAAGAGGGGGCATGGAAGACATGTTGGTACGGGACAAGGCATGGGGCATGCATGTGCACGGTTGCTCCTGGAAGACCTGGACGTGGAACAAGGGGAGGGATGCAACGTGGAATGGAAGGTGAGACAAGGTGAGCCGGAGACCACGCAGCCACATCCATGCTCGCTGATGCTTCCACAGTTGCCATGCAACACAGCAGCCATGGAAGACGAGACAAGACGGAGAGCGAGTGGGTGCAATGGG